TGACCATACATTATACAATTTTCTTGAGAATTTTGCTTTAGATTTACCAAAAACCATAAAATATGAGGTCAAACCTAAACAACACATTCAATTGTATCCAATTAGGCAGGTCCTTGCACTACATAGTTGAAGGTAAATCTAAAGGAAAATGGACAGAAATTGGACAGAAAATTGTATAGTGTATGGCCAGTCTTAGTCAACATTGGTTGAGTGATATTGGCAGCAACAACGTAATTGCCTGATTAAAATTTGCCTTGAGTTAAACTTTAAATGCAAAATTGGGGTAAAGCGGGGTGAAATAAAGTGAACCCATGTTTTGCTTCTAAAGTGTGACATTTTTATTTTTTAGTTTTGTATACAGTGAGTTAGGTTTGTGCTTTTATTGCTGCCTGAGGCCATGTTTTGGAGACTTCCTCCACTTTCTTTTCTGTTGCCATACAGGAAAGTAGGCAAAATCTACAGCAGCAGCACAGATTGCAACCATAAAGTGGGTTCTAGTCTTCTGCTGCACTACCAAAACTTGTTTCTATTGCTGCCTCTGTCCCTTTTGGAGAATTGTCTTTTTCCTCTGCCCGAAAAGCAAACATATGTCTTACAATGCATCCTATATATCGATGAAATAATTAGAGGATGACTTTCGTATGGACTTTTACTACATTTTTACAATAAGGTAAATGTAGGTTAAGGGGAAGGGACCCTTTACATTTCAGGGTAGATGTTTACTTGTCCCAACTGTTTTTTTTGGGCCTGTGAGGGTTCAGAAGAGCCTTGGGTCCACCAGCAGGCAAGGTGATGTTTTAAGACCAGGCCTCATTTTTTTCCCTACTCACCGGGTATTAAACTGCATTCTAAGTGATATTAAAATAACAGGGGACTTCAAGTACACCATTCCTACACCCTTCCTTCTCTACAGATTATAAGCTATATGACTGAAGAACTGCACTAGATTTTGTTTTTTGATAAAAAATGGGAGAGTAATGCATTTATTAACCTCTTGCCGCCCACATGACGCACATAAGGGGTGGGCTTTAATGCCCACACTGTACACATATGTGGCAGAGCTTTCTGTGCTGAGAGCACATACACTGCATGCTCCCAGCATAGTGACTGAGCAGTCAGATTCAGCGATCAAACTCTACTAATGATTAGAAGCTGGCAGGACAGGTTCCTGATCAATCAAAGTGGTCTCGTGGTTGGTGGGTCCTTCCCGCCCCTAGGCGTAAAGACCCTGTTCAAGGGATGGCAGGGCTGGATGGAAAGGGATTAAGGTAACTAATAAAAAAGGATAAATAAAAACATTAGATATGTTCCAAACCTGTGACCAGGATCACAGGAACTAAGTGGGCAAACTGGTGGTGACACAACTTTTTATATGTCTGCTCTTCTGTTGCCAGAAATTTCACAAAATACCTACTGAGACTGTTGATCAGTAAACTTAAAGGCCAACTTTGGGCAAAAATTTTTCTTCACCATGCAGTGGGCCAGTGCCACCACTGCGTGGGTCAACTGCTCATTTTTTCTTGGGTTGAGCCCAAAGTTTATACTCACCTGATCCACCAGAAAAGCGCGCTCCCCCATGGTCCAGCGGTGGACTGTTCCTGTGAGTGTGCTAATGTCAGGAATAGTCCATTTTCAAGACCGCGGGGGGGGGGGGGGAATCAGGAGCCAAAAGGACTGGTCTTGTGTGAGGAGGATTAGCAGGCCAGGTAAGTATATCTCCACTGTTCTCTCTCCTGAAAACAAGCAATTAACCCATGCCGTGCAGGCACAGCCCCACTGCATGGGGGAAACAAAAGATTCTGCTTTAAGTTTTACTTTTCTTCAATTCCTTTTTGCACAAGCATCATATTTGTATTTAATGACTTTCTGTTGCCCAGTTCAGGAAAATGAAGCATGGGTTCTTAATTGAAAGGCTTATTTAACAAGAGGTACAGAGCAATTTGTTGATTAACACCTAGAAACATTTTGGGGTCCTGAAGTTAGGTGAGTGAATAATAAGTTAGAACTGGCTGCCATGAGATAGGTCTAATTAACACAGGCTTCAGTTGGTAAACCCTAGTCTAATGAGCAATATGTACATCTAGCATTTGCAATGACTTCAACAAGCTTTAAGCAGGTGTCTTAAAGCCCTTAAGCCCAACTCCAGCTAAAACAAATTTTTAAGTGTATCAAACCCAAAAAAAAAAAAAATGTACGTATTGCAGCTTACCAGTCCTTGGGTGTGGTAACTACATAGTTTTTTTTTTTCCAAACTTCTCTCCCTTATTTTTCTATGGTGATCCTGTGAATAAAACACTCCAAATGCTTGGGTGACAACACTCCTTCTGTATCAGAGCAATGGAAACAGGAAAGGACTATGGAACATCTCCCCTCCATAACATAGAGGGGTGAGGTTCTGTAGTCTTTAGAGATAGCTGAGCACAATTTAATTGGTAACAGCCGGCACAGGCAGAGATCAAACACAGTGGACACAGGCACCCCACACTGCCATCAGAGCTTGGTGGAGGCTGCAACACTGGAATGGATATAAGGTAATAGATGCAGGCCGGGAATATATACACAAAGAAATTCATAAAGGGTGTCGTAAGACATCCTATGAATCCCCTTGCTTCATGACAAATGTCAGTGCAGACTTAAATGCACTTGTCAGGGAATCTCTTGCATGGAAAGAGGCAGCACTGTGGCTGGAGGTATCCATATAGCAGTTACTCTATCCTCAGTGCATGGTAAGCCCCCAGGGAACTGCCAATTGTGTAGCCAACAACATGAAAGCAATGGATGACTTATCTCCATTTAGCTGCTAGCTAAGAGATTATCCAACTAAAATCTGAAGTAATCAACGGGGAAGGGATGTTGGTGACAAAATCGACTAAATATGGCCATTGCCAAGCCTGCCCCTTTATTTACTCTCACCTGTCGAAAGGGGAATCTCCCAGCCAGCACATGAACTGGGCTGGGAAAGAGTCATCAGTTGCTAGGAAGCTGCAGGCTGCCAGGGTATCCTAGCAGCCATGAGCCCCTGTGCAGGAAGTTGTCACATTAATAAGAGCTTCCCAGCACATATGCCCAGCTCTGAGCACTGGGGTCTCACTGTATGCCAACTCAGAGATGGTCTCAAAGGATAGGTTCACCTCATATTTAGGGTGTAACATGTAAGATGTTACCCCCTCCCCCGCCCATGACAGTGCACACGCATCCGCTGTCACAATTTGAAAAACAGCATGACTGTGTGGGTTCCACCAACACAGAAACGTCATTCATCATTTTATTACAGGGATTTTTGAATTAATAAACTACAAGTCCCGACTGCCACCGCGGCAGACAGCTTGTAATTCTCAATGAACTGTGAGGGCGCTGGTGTGGGCTCTTGTGGTTCATTGATACTTCCTAAAGCTTTCAGAGGTATGGGCTGAAGGCTGTAAGTGGTGTCTGCAATCTACTGATCGCAGGTGCAATGCTTTGTAGGCTACTGAAAAAAAAAAATGCAGATTTTTTTACCTGCAAAAATATTTGCATTTTTCTTTTAAAGGTGAAGCTATTCTTTAATTATCTGCTTATCTGTGAATAAAAATAAAACTAAAACTACCTCAATCTGGGCATGTACTGGTGCTGAAACTGGCACATGTTTTTTTGTGAATTAGGTACAGGCCATGTTAAAAGGACCATATCACCAGAAAAGTGTTGTTATCACTTTAGTGAATTCCTCCAACAGTGTCTTGCTTTACAGGTATGTTGTCAAATGTTTAGGCTCCATGCACACTGGGCATTTTAATAATGCAGGTAACATTAGCTGTGTAAAGTCACGTTAAAAACCTTTGTTTTTCAGTGTTTTTTACCAAAAACAAATTGTTTTTGGCCAAAAAAAAGTCCAGAATTCAAGGTTGTCACGATTTATTGCGTTTTGCCGTGTTAGAGTGTTTTTACAGCTAAAAAACTCCTCTAGAAACCCACTAGTTCTGGGTTTTTTTTCAGCCAAAAAACGCCCCAGCCAAAAACGTTGATTACAGTCTATGTGTGCATGGACACATAGGATAACATACTGGCTGTAGAAAAAAAGTCAAAAGCCAAAAACAGCAGCTGTGTTGCTTCAAGATCTGGGTTTTAACACTTTTAGGCTGGAGCTGAAGAGTGCTTCAAAGGTTTTTAAGAAATTTGCTCAAACTTTGCTATAGGATCTGTAAATTTTTGCTCTGCACACTGCATTGCAGATGAATGGTTTCACCCTGAAACTACTAGGCCTAACTAGATTTTGCTCTTCACCTTAATATGTATCATGCTTTTCTGTTATCACATCATAATAGAGCTATTACGTTTCTACTTATTATTAACCAAGCTGAGTACTACACAGGTTTAGTTGTACCCCTGTGTAGATATACACACATCCAATCCATAAGTGCTATAACGAAAAAGAATTACTGACAAAACCATGAGAAAATATATACCAGAAAATGCATTTAAAATAACATGAAATAGCAATAGAGGACTGATCAATGCATGTATTAAAGACCAGACACTTCACTGTTAACATAGGGTCTTATTCTCATTAACCACTCCCATGATGTCATTTAAGTAACATCAAGCATTCAGCAACCATTCAGCAACCCTCTTCACTGCCACATGACTAAAATAAGCACATTTCACTCTTAAATACTCAAAAAAATAATAATAAAATTGAAACAAACCACAAAAATCCAAAATGCTGTGGTAGAGAGATGTTGAAAAGAAGCATACTACAGTGCAAGACAGTTATAAAAATGTCATTGTTTTTGTTTGTGAGCTAAGCAGGTGGTCCCAAGTGTCAGCGCAGTAACTGAGCTGTACCGGAACAGGCTGTTCCAATCCCCTAGATAGAAAAATCCTCTTCCAGAATGAGTTCCCCCCTCCCCCATCAGACCTTTGTCTCCAGTGTGAGTACAGATCAGAGCCATCACTGCCATGGTTCAGGAAGTGAAGGAGACTGGGGATACCCCTACAAGCATCAGTCTTCGAAGACATGGAGATCAAGACTCAGCCTTCTCCTTTTCCTTCTTTTTTCCTTTCTTTAGAAATGAGGGAGTACGGAACTTCTTCTTCTTTTTGGAGGGGGATTTAGTCGGGGATCCCTCCGGAGAGGCATTGGGAACCGTCTCAGTTTTCCCTTTGGGGGTTTCTGTAACTTTCTGAACAGTTTCCTCCTGAGCAGGCTGATCCTCTTCCTTCCCATTTAGCACCACAGTTGGTTGGACCTTGTCCTCGGTAGTTCCTGTTGATAATGGTGTGTCCTCCTTCTTCTCTTTTTCTTTAAACAGACAAAAAATATGGAGCCGTGAGTAGAAAATGGCACTAATATTATGTCAAGACTGCTGCTCTAAATAAGAGTGTTTGAATTCTTTTTCTAACCTACAATATAAAATTGAAACCTTGGGGGTGTACCCAACTCCCCTGGGCTGTAGTACAAAATGTAAACCAGATGCTTATGACTTACCTTCATAATTAAAGAACTTCAGGAAGCTTAAAATAGCAGTGTCTGGAGATGTATGTTTGAAATTTACTTACCTCTGTGATGTCCTTCACTGGCAGCAAGTGCCACAAAATATCTCCACTTTTCGCTGTTCATCTGTTCTTCTACGCGAGTCCTGTTCCTTTTGTTTGCATTAAAGTAATTGTCCCAGTAGAAGTCTATGGGGCTGACTTCATCAATCTAAAGAAGTACAGTAGGGCCAAAGCTTTTTTGACTATACTTCTATGGATCACAGGAGTGCAGTTCGTTATGCACTCCTGTGACCCATTTTCAGCCAACAACGCACTAAAGGCCGCTGACGGCTTACGTCACTCAGTTCGGGAAAAATCCTGACTTTACAGTTCCAGCAGCTGGCACAGCCTCTCAGCTGCGCCACTGAGAGATTAAGCCAGCAGCTCCCTTCCCCAGCCTGAAATTCAGCTGGAAAGGCACAGTAGAAAGCTGGAGAATGACAGTAACTACTCTCTGCTCAGAGAGTACGGCAGAGAACGGAGTGATCAGAGGTGTTTGATTGCTCAGTTAATAGTGCAGAGGTGGAGGGGGACAAATGCAGTATTGAATTGATGCTGCATCCACCTAGGTGAGTAATAATTTTTTTTTCCCTGTAAACCCCATACTTCTCTTTTAACCTCTTGTTACCGAGCGTATGCAAATATGCAGCCCCACTGGACTGGGCTTTTTTCCATGCAGCCACATATTTGCGAACCTGTCTTTGTGTTGGGACCGCGCCACATGGCGCTCTGCCAGCACAGAGACCGGAGTCTCACCGAGAGCCCCGAGTCCCATACTAATGATTGGGACCTGGAACTCCCGGTTCAGTCAGTATGAAGCCTGCCCCCGTGCTTTTTCCCTCTGAATGGAAGCAAGAGATGCACTGCATCTCTTTCTTTCTTGCAGAGAGAAAACAAAAACTTTGTGAAAATAAATAAATAGTAATAATATTAATTCTAAAAATAATAATAATATAATAAAAATAAATAAATTAGAAAATACCTAGATCAAGGTTTGACCTAGCTCAGTGCCAGGGTTAGTGTTTGGGTCAAGGTCAGGGTCAATATTTTTTGGGCAGGAGTTTTTTACATTTTTTTTTTAAATTAGTATCAGTGTCAGTGTGTTTTAGGTAGGATAAAATAAGCAAAATGCGCACTATTGTTTCTGGTCTGCACTATGGATACATACAACATCTAACATACATGTATGGTATCACTGTGATTTTCAGGAGCAGGAGAAATTATTTAGGGTTGTTCTTTGGTGGTATGTTATTGTAGTAGCAAGAAATATACAGCTACATTTAAAAAAAAAAAAAAGAATTTTTTTTTTACTATTTTGGGCCAGTTTCCTTTTGATAGTAAAAACGTCAGAAGATATTCATCACCATTTACCACCAAATGAAAGCTCAATTTGTCCTGAATAAAACAAGGTATAATCCACCTCGATGCACAAAGTAGTTGTGATGATGTGTACGGTTTTACTAACACATGTCAAAGTTGCAAAATTGTGCTTCATCTTTAACATTTGTTTTACCCTTAGGTGCGAAAGGGTTAAATAAAGCTCATGGACCACAAATTCTGACCAGCTGGTATGGGATCATAGTCACTTTTTCCTCTGCAGTTTTTATACAGTGTCATTAAAATATATAAGTAGGTAATCGGGCTCACCTTTGTAGCGTACCTAATTAAAGTGAATTCTCGTGATTTCCATGCTTTAATTAAATTACTTTGGTAACTGCATATCCAGTATTTTAGCAGTGGGAATATATGTATTGTTATATGTGTTTTTATATATATATATATATATATATATATATATATATATATATTTGTATAGCAACAGTCAAGGCTACAAAACAGGAGATTCCTTTTCTTCCATTACACTAAACAGATTATTTATTTCATCAGGACATCTGAATTTAGCATAATAAGGTCTGTTAGTTAGAGATGAGTGAACAAAAGAAAGGAAAAGTTCAACCCAAATAAAGCGGTTTTATCTACCCTCAGAGTGCTGCAAGTAGTTATATGCCTCAATTTCAAAACTTAACACTGTCAAATTCCTCCAAAATTCTGCTTAGCAACACCTAATCTAATGGTCTGCCCTTCCTCTACTGTTTATAAGGACAGTTATAAGAACTGTTTTTAAAGATTTCAAAAGGTTCAATGTGTGAACAATGAAGGTTATTTGCCTACTTTTACCAGTCAAAAAACCCTGTGTGATCCTCTGAAACATGTTTACATTGACTTTTCTGACTCTGGCACAAAACCCCTGCCACTATCCCTCCTTTCTTGTCTAATAGGAGTGGTAAGTGATCATTAAAGGGTGTCTTCATTGGACAGGTTGATGGTAGATGATGGGAACAAATTGTGTTTTTCTCACATAGGTAAGGATAACCTTGATCATCATGCCCCAAAATTTGTATTTCTCATATAATACCCCTATGGTTATACTGTTGGAGATCTTCCAGGTTGTGAACTCTTTTTTTGGACCTTGCTGTGGCATAACTGACCACCTAGAATCAAGCTAGAACAGCTACAGTGGCCTATAGGTGAGGGAGAAGTATACCTCTGCCTAACCCTGGAATGCTCAACATGTGACCCATGGACTACATGTAGCTTGCAGGACCCTCTGAAGTGGTCCACAACCTCATGTGCTAGGATGGTGAGGTGGCAAGCCCAGATGGTGTGTTGCCGACCCGCCATCCCAGAACATCAGATTGCATGGAGCCAGCACCAGAAGTTGAGGAAGCAAGTGGCCACATAGGAAGCAGGAGCTGCATAAGCCAATATTTCCTCTGTAGCACCCGCTCCTATCCCAGATGGAGTGATACCAAATTCACTTCACCTGGGACCTTTCTAGTATCCTAGAGATGCCAGTAGAAGCTGGAAGAAAAAAAGGTCAGTTTATTAAACATCACACAATTTTTCAATGGGCAAATTAGCATTTTAAAAAAATGGTGCTTTCACACTGATCCTCAGGTGCCACAAAGTGCACCTATGGCTTTTCTGTGGGTTAACTGCACCAAGCCATAGACTTCTATTATATCGTGCGAGTTTGGTGCCCTTTCTGAAAGTGCATCAAAACTCCTGAATGCAGGCATTTTGGTGCACTTTCAGAAAGTGCACCACACCTGCAAGATGTAATAGGAATCTACGGCAAAGCACAGCTGACCCACAGGAAAGATGCAGGTGCATTACACTGCCCCAGTGGTGAGGGTAAATCCAAGCACAACAGTGTGAAAGCAGCCTTATAGGGAACTCAAGACAGTAAGGGCTCATTTACATTTGTTGTTTGGGGGGGGGGGGGGGGGGGGTAATACTCCATAGTTGAGACCACACACCCTCAACCACTGGTGTAGCATTAAAGATCGCAATGGCGACCCTATCCCATGCTCCAGGGGGCCCCTGCAGCCTCCCTGTCACATTATGTTTTACATTTGAACTGGAGGGGTGGCATATACAGGAACCAATCCTCTCCATTTTCCTTCTGCAACCGCTGAAAGCCGGCTTTTTCTCCTCTCCCTCCTGCCAGAATTCAGTGGCTGCAGGAGGAAAATGCTCATTATGCTATTCAAAATAAAAAATAAAAATTCTGAACCATTTAATTTCATTGTGGCCCACGACCAGTTACCAAATCATTGTCCCTCACTCTTATGTTTCAGTTTTTTGTATTGTGGTTCATAAAGAACAAGTCATGCTCACAAATTGCCAATGCAGGGGCCATGTTTTGAGAAGGTTTAAAAGAACCGGTGAGAATATATATATGCCTGATAGCCAATGCCAGGCAACATTAAGCCACAGGGCTGGAAACTTGTGGCAATCAAAAAAACACAACCATGACCCCAGGACGAGGTCACCATCGATACAGGAGGAGCCCCCTTATGTGGCCTTCACTCTTCAAAAGGCTGAGCATCCCTGGCCTAACCCATGGTTATACTATGTGGCTGCACAATTACAGAAAACGATAGACAGCATAGCTCGGGATTATGGGACAAATAACTCTAATCCTGATTCAAAAATGGCAATTTTTTGGTCCAAAATAGAGAATATTACCTTAGGGCTGGAAACGCTATTAATTTGCAAATCTAACAAGCTGCTCCCAACATATGGCCATTGCAAAAAATTTGGAATAAAACATTACCTTGAACTGTGCTTAATTTGTTGACTTTTCAATAGGGCACAGATAGTAAGGTACTCCAACTTACAATGGTGTAAGCAGGCACCTTCTATTTCATTGGTAATTAAACGTTTAAAATGATTGATAGGTTCACTTGATACATTATACCAAACTCTGCACAGCCATTGCAGTTTTAGAAACAGGAAACAGATACAGAGAGAAAGAGGATCAGCTATTAGCTACCTAGCGACAGAAAGAGAACAAGGTAAAAATACAAGGAAAAAAGGAAGTAGGGACAGGAGGGACAGGTAGGAAGATTTCAAGACAGTGCGTGCCTGCTGCCTCTAATTTCTGGATGTGTCACCATCACAAGAAGAAGCTCACGTGCCTTTTAAAGGCAAATTCATGTGGTATGTGCTTCTGGTTTTCTGTTCTCCATTTAAACTGCAGTGTACTAAATGGCTCTAGTGACTGTGCGGTAACTTAAAAATAAATCTTGCTTGCCGCAGCTTTGATGCGCTCCCATCAAAACACTCTATATAGAGCTCAATGTAACACGTAAAGTGAACCTAAAACACACTGCACCAATGATAATACGCTGGAATATTGGGGTTGATGTACTTAAATCAGTGGTCTCCAAACTGCAGCCCAGGGGCCAAGAGTGGCCCTTG